AGGAGCAGGGATTCACGTGGTACTGAAGAAACACTCGTGTCTCCAATCATGGGTTTCCAGGAACCGTGGTAAGTCCCCACATACCAATGGATCTCCACTTTGTCTCCGTCAGCAGTCTTTACTTCTCCCACCCATGGACGAGATGCTCTGTCTTCCGTATAAACTGCGGCTAGCATTCCTGCAGAGATACCCTCAGTTCCAGAGAACATTCCCTGCCGCCTGGTTCCCACTGGTCCAATGATAGGCTGAATGGAAGAAATCGTATCGTGATGAAATAACAAGTTATATCTTCGTTGTTACCTAAATTCGTTAATGGAAACGATTCTTTATTTTTAAAAGCTAATAGAGTTTCATCCCGTCGCATTCAAAAGCGACAACTTTATGATATGTTATTTTGAGAAATCGATAATGGGTCCAGTGGCGTAGCTATCGAGTGAGCAGGCAGTGCAATTGTACCAGGGCCCAAGGGCAGGGCTACGAAAAGGAGGTCAAAGGCGGGGAGCGAGCGCTGGCGATTGGCTAAGGCCAATGGGGGAGGAAATTATTATTCCTCGGCGTCCCCTGCCCTCGCTCCCATCCCCCCTTCCCAGATAAACGCATGGCCGCAACTAAACCGCGTTCCATATTATTGTTTAAATGATAGAAGAAGAGAAGGTATCTATAGGTGATTTTCTAGTGCCCGCAATATCATTTAGGATTGTGTAACCAATCACATCGAGACAAGGAAAATGATTCGTCTTTCTCGCGGTATCAATAACATTAAAAAATAATGCAAAACCCATCATCTTGGTCCCATAATAGCATCGGAAATATTCTCACCTGTTGGAGTGGTCCTACGATACCTTTCTCCATACCAGACAAATAGTCGTTTAATGCCTGGTCGATTTCTGGCGCGGTCTCGGTCAATGCCTTCTTGTGATCCAAAAGCTGACCCAGGTATGAGGTAGCTCTCTGCAATCGCATGAAGGACGGAATGAAAAAATATCATTAAGGGAGGAGCCGACTCGTAATGTGATGCACATGTAGGAATTAACGATCTACCTGTTGACATTCCCCCGGAGAGAATTCTTTCCATGCATCGACCTTCTCCTGGGGCATTCTTGGGAAGTAGTGACTGATGTACTTCTTCACTTCTTCCAGCCTCGCCCTCTCCCAAAGTCCCCGTTGTTCCTAGAACTTCAGGAGGTCTGGACCCTACAGGATTAAATCTCTGTCAAAATATGGTTCTTTACTTAAGGTCGCTAGGTTGTTACTGTTTTGGGTTAGTAATTACCGTGATAGTAGGCATCTACATATGTCACGGTGCAAATTTCCTTTGGGCGAATCATTTCTTAAATATCCCCAGTGGAATCACTCATAACTACACAACTAAATTATGAAAACCTTTACATGAATTCTGCAATCAAAGAAACAAGCAATAAATACGCAGGATACTGTGTGCGTTTCCTATTAAATCAGTTTTCATGACTGAGGATATTGGACCTACGTTGGTCTAACTGGAAATGAGTATATTGTGGAACTTTTCCGCGCTACATTCATATACCTGGATACACAAGAAGCCGAGAGCAGTGCCAAGATGTTCCTTTGCGTATTGGCAGTCTTCCTCGTTAGGAACCCCTCCTTCTTCTGCATGCATGCGAACATGCATTCGCGTTTCTTCCCTGAACTTCCTAGTAGAAATAAGTAACTATAAATAATATATGTCTTCAAGTCACTCAGGCCAGCATAATCATAATTTCTCAAACTTAAGAATTTTAGTAAAATTGGGCAAATACCTTTGGGCGAATCATTTCCTAAATATCCCCAGTGGCATCACTCATAACTACAAAACTAAATTATGAAAACCTTTACATTAATTCTACAATCAAAGAAACAAGCAATACATACGCAGGATATTGTGTGCGTTTCCTATGAAACCAGTTTTCATGACTGAAGATATTGGACCTTCGCTGGTCTAACTGGAAATGAGTATATTGTGGAACTTTTCCACACTACCACGTACATTCATATACCTGGATACACAAGAAGCCGAGAGCAGTGCCAAGATGTTCCTTTGGGTATTGGCAGTCTTCCTCGTTAGGAACCCATCCTTCTTCTGCATGCATGCGAACATGCATTTGCGTTTCTTCCCTGAACTTCCGGAAGCGGAATCCAAGGGGGTCCTTGTGTCCTTTGAAGAATCGCGGGAGGTTGAACTGGACAACGCTCTTGAAGTCATGGACCAGTTCTATTTCTTCAACGTGTAGACCTTCCTTCCTCCCACTCCTTTTGATTTCCCTCAGACATCTCAAAAGATCTGGAAAAAAACGCATTTGAAAAATACTTTTAGCCACTGCTTTTCACCTCGTGAGACTCTCATCCAATGAATGAAGGCGTTTGTGATTTCAATTCCTTTTGACCAGGTCATATGGGCCAAATCGCTGACTTGTAGACACTCTCTTTACTTTTCCATGAGACTCACCTTCCAGCAAGCACAAGTCCTTATATTGCAGATGTTGACTGATGGTGCTGAACAACTGATCTATGTCCTCGTGGGTATGGCCAACAGGATGAAAGTTGAAAACAATCTGAAAGAAAATGAAACTTGTGAAACTAATTATACATTCCATGTGAATAGGATAACTGTCACAAATAAGTTTAAATTGAAACCAATGAATTTTCTCTCCAAAATCACTTTCAATGTCATTTAAATTCAGAAAACTGGAATTCAGGGAGGAAAAAAAAATTAGATTCCATTAACCATGTAAAGGAGGTTCATAAAGAGGGTTACATGAAGCCTCCTCAACCATACTCACCTCCTCAAAGATGTCCAAATCCACAAGAACATGCGCTAGAGCGAGGATGTACTTGTTCTTGTTTTCCCGACAGCAATTATCCATTTGGATCAGTAGCTTGGTCTTCATGTTCCTTCTCAAGTGGAGTAATGATCGGAGAATGACTTCGGCGGTAAGGTTGGAGTCATGTGGAAATTGGCCCATATCCACGTAGGCGAATTCTCGGATGCCTTCTTCAGTGTACGCCATGATCCCTATCCAGAAAGCAATGACAGTG